GTTGGGGGCAATATGCTGACTCTGTAAACCGCTTAGAGAGAGCTGAAAGCCCTATGAAGCGGTATATAAGTCTAACTGCTATTGCTATTGCTATACAATTGAAAGAGGTTTTAGCATTGCAAATGTGATTGTTTTTCAAATTTGTGGAATTATCTCCCTGTCGCATTTACAGCCAAGGTGTAAGGTGATGATTATGTTTGGGACTTGAATTGTTCATGATGCACCCTTAGTAAACTTAGCAATTCATGTTTCTTCAAATATGAATAATGAGGTCAGGAAAAAATGATTCTGAAATGATTGGATTAGCCTTGGGGCAGGATGGGCAGCAAACAAATTTATTAAATAATAAAAATAATTATCCAAGCCACAATAATCTCCAACCACTACTCCTCTTGTAGGATTCCCAACTCCGTCAAAGTACAACGTACAGTTTACACCAACCTCAGGGAAATAAGGAGCATGGCACGGAAAGAGACGGCAGCCTCTATAAGAAAAGTGATGGGTATGTACAAATAATGCTGCAGTATTTTGAATTTAAAAATAAAAATTGGGATTTCTCCAACAGCTCAAATTAATTTGCAATATAAATCACTCTGTCTCTTTTTATTTTTTAACAAAACAGGATCAGGAAGGTGTGGCAGAAGAGAAAGTGCATTGTTAAAAATGGCTTCCTAACTATTTCCCATGGTACAGTAAGTATTTGTTTACAGCATTCTATGTACAGAGATGGTTACTTACATATAAAAGCCATATTAATCTGCAATTATTTTTGTATGTCTAGTATTTCCTAGATTTTTCTTTTCCAGAGCAGATGATTAGAGAATTCAGTACCATTGATATGGAAGTTGCTCATGTTTTCCCACTATGCTTGATGAGGAATTCTAAAAATAATTACATGCTTTATGTAGGTACAAAAGAGTAAAGTCTTAATTCTGTACAGATAAATAAAAATGTCTTTTTATTTGATAAAAAGACATTTTTATGTCTCTTGATACTCTATGAGTCATGTATTTTTAAATCATTAGCTCACGTGCATTGTACATGCCCAGCACCAGGGATTAAAGAGAAATCTGCTGAACAACTTTTCAAATATGATCATGGGAAAGATAGATTATTATTATTATCACAACAACACAATTGTATCACAGCGGCCAGTTGTTTCGCCGGATTTGGCATTGGTTACTAGTCGGGCCCCACCCAGGGACCTAGGACGTAGTAACGTATTTCGTTTTGTTGGCTGGTCCACTTGTAGCCCACTTGTCGACAGATGTCCAGGGACCCCAATATCCGCCACGGCCCTTGTTAACCCTCGCGACGACCGATGCGGTATAAAATTTTTATTCGTTTTTCACCATATTGTATGGGTTGGTGGGGTTTTTTTATGGGGCCAGTTGCCAACCTGGCCCCAACCCTCCTCCTTTCTCATCCGGGCTTGGGACCAGCAACGGCGGAGTTCTTATTGTTGTTGTTGTTGTTGTTGTTGTTGTTGTTG